CACTGATCCCTGAGGGACTCCACTCTTGAATGCAGCCCTTCATTGTCATTTTATCATTGTCATATGAATGCCTTCAGATATATCCTGTGTGAAATATTTAATACAAAATCAATGTTGGATTCTTGCACTGAACTCCTTAGCAAGTTAAAGTTTTGGTTTGGTTTTGGTCTCACTGATACTACCTCATAAAGAGAAATCTTTTTCTCTTTTGTGTCTTCAGTGCCTACATATCTAACTCTGGTTTTGTACCTAAAACAAAGTAGGGATTTTATAAGACTGGAATTATGATGGCTTTGTTTCCATATTGCAACTATTGACTTTCTGGCTATGGGACGTGTATTTTCCCGGTGTGCTTTTAATGTATAGGATCATCTCCATTCTCTAATTCCAAACAATTATTTTGGATAATTTAGCTATCATATGTAAATATGCAGCCAAATAATGAATTTGGTTCACTTATGTGTGACTGTTGTCATTCTTCAAAATGAACTATAACTTAGTTTTATTAGGTGAATGGAAGTCTGGCAGAAATTTCCTAAACTCTCAGACTTATTAGTACTAGGTCCCATACACATTGATGGGAAATTTCCACAGTAGCACTGGTATTCTCCTCCTGCATATTTTGAAAGTGGCCTTCCTGGAAATCTAATATATCTGTAAATTTTATAGCTTTCCATCTGCAGAAAAAGCATCTGAGAGAAAAGTTATGACTGAACAGCAGAAGATCACACTGAAGGTAATAAATCTCTCTGTCATCTGTCTACTTTTACCACGCCCTTCACCATCCTTTTGGAGAACATACTTCCTCTCTGCCACAGCAGTATACAGCTGATTTAAGTTTCATTTTCTGTATTGTCATGAGATTAATTGGTTCTGTAGGAGAGTGAAAGTTTCCGAAGAATGACTGGGAACAATAAGAAAACCATATTGAGGCATGTGAAAAGATTTGAAGATATTTCAAAATATTCTTTGTCCCCCAACAGTTTTTACAAGTGGATTATCACTTAAATTAAGGGCAAAGATAATGGATACGTTATTTTTTCAGCAAAAGAAGGTATCTCCTTTTCAAGGATTTTTTCTTCTTAATTTTTACATTGGATAGTGTATTTTAAAAAGTCTTCAGCAGAAGAATTGGAACCAAGGAGTCCCTTCCTCTGAGGAAGCACCCAAACAAGTGGTGGTGAAATTTCCTTGATGCTATTTGCTTTCTGACTTACTGAATGTATCTGGAATACTTTAATGAAAAATCACACCACTTCAGATTCCATCAGCTCCTTGTATTTTTGTTACTGTTATACTCACAGAAGTGTTTGCATCTATCATTTTGATTTGAACTGTTAATTGTTTGGGACAGCTGAACTTCATTGTTTGGTTTATTTGGTCTTTCAGAAATTGCCTTGGTTTGTGGTGGTTTAAGCTTAGTACATTTTAAAGATTAAATGGATTACTGGCATCTTTGGGAGGCAGAGAGGAGCAGGCAGAAGACATGAAATATTTTGTAGTTGTTTTGTTTTAATTTGTACTAATACTTGATGGTAAAGTTTGTTCAGAAGTTAGGATCTTTCTTTGTGCTTCATGTTGTAGCCACAATACAGACAAGTCCTTAAACAGCCCTGTCAAACATAACAGAAGTACATCAATAACCATGGACTTTCTTCCTGAATAAAGGCTAGAGGGTCAGACTCTTCATGTCTCTAGTTTAATAAGGCAATTATGCTTTATTCACTGGAGGAGAGGGGTGAGAAAGAATATGTATTTATAGCTTTGCTGAAAAAAGAGGAGAGACCAACTGAATTAATCTGCAGCTGCAGCTGACTTCATTAAGAAAAGTTTAAATGATTATTCAGAAGACTTCACTCCAGTTTCATGAACAACCTCTGGTTTAATTTCAAAACTCTCATATTGGACTTTTTTTTTTGGCTGTTGTACAAGTGACAACAGCAAGTCATGTAGCTTTAGAGTGACCTTTTCAGAGTATTATAATTCAAAACACAGGTAGTCAGCAACTTTACTTTCCATCAGTTTTGTGCAAGCAGCTCAAGAGATGAGATTTAGAGTGCTGGTTCCTGGTTTTGCATATCAAATTTTACTCTAGTTAGTGACATCAACCCTCTTTGGCTTTTAGAGAATTCATCTTTGACATACTTCTCAGGGAGAGGTGTTCCATGTCTCCTGTTGGCCCTGACTGAGATTTTGGTCATCAAGGCTGAGGACTCTGCTGCCATATGTCTCAAAGTTTCTCAAAAGTTTCTCAGAAAATATACAATTTGTATGGCTGCTTAATCACACATAGTTATTACATTCATTTATATGTTAAAATGTGCTGTGTATTTGCACTGATAATAAAGATTTATCTCTGTATTGTAGGCCAAAGACAGAAGATATGCTCTGGATAACCCTGAGAGAGGAATAACTGCTTTTCCACACTCCTTTCTAAGGTGCCTGATTTACAGCAGGAAGGACTATTTGAAGAGTTCCATCTGGCTTTTTGTACTGCTGCTTCTTAAGCCATAAGCCTTCACTCCCATGTCTCTTTATAAGTCTATTCTCACATGACTTTGGTTGAGTTTTTTAAATCAATGGCCTTTCCCAACTTCAAAACTCATTTGCATTATTTTCTTATGATAAGGTTCCACTGGGAAGCCAATTAAGAAAGAGAGCACTGAAATATATGAGTATTTTTGTCAGAAGTGAGAGTGATCATAGAATCATAGGGGTTGGAAGGGACCTCGAAAGATCATCTAGTCCACCCCCCCTGCCAGAGCAGGGTCACCTAGAGTACATCACACAGGAAGGCGTCCAGGCGGGGTTTGAATGACTCCAGTGAAGGAGACTCCACAACCTCTCTGGGCAGCCTGTTCCAGTGCTCCGTCACCCTCACAGTAAAAAAATTTTTCCTGATATTCACCTTGAACCTCCTATGCTCCAATTTGCACCCATTACCCCTTGTCCTATCACTGGTCATCACTGAAAAAAGCTTAATTCCATCTTCCTGACACTCACCCCTTACATATTTGTAAACATTGATGAGGTCACCCCTCAGTCTCCTTTTCTCCAGGCTAAAGAGACCCAGCTCCCTCAGCCTTTCCTCATAAGGGAGATGCTCCACTCCCTTAATCATCTTGGTAGCCCTACACTGGACTCTCTCCAGCAGTTCCCTGTCCTTCTTGAACTGAGGGGCCCAGAACTGGACACAATATTCCAGATGTGGCCTCACCAATGCAGAATAGAGGGGGAGGAGAACCTCTCTTGACCGACTAACCACTCCTTTTCTAGAGTGATGCTGCATTAATACAGCTGCTCGTTCTGTACAGCCAAGCATACAGCTGAACTTAGAGACTGTAGATTTCTTACACAGTACTACAGCTAAATAGTGGATTGACATTCCAGTTGGTATTTCCTTTCAGGGAAAAGGGTCTCTTGCCATGTGGCCTTTTGACTCTATGATCTGCAAGAACTGGAGACCAGAAGCATTTCCCACATCTTTTCTTTCTGAGAATGTAACAATGAGTTGTAGAATATTGTCCACAATACAAGAGCAGTGTAGGAAATCAAGCCAGAACCCAAGGGGTCCCCATCTGATTCTCCTCATTGCTGACTTAAGTATCATGCATGACTTGCAGATTGCTCACTGGCCTTCTCACACAAAGGCATTTCTACCTGAGGAAAAAATATGGTACTCCAAGGAAAAAAAGCAGTGTTATTGACTGTGAAAGTCTGTATAGATTTTGAAGTAACACTGAGCTCTTTTGAGGTATTAGAGCACCACATCTAGTACTCTCAAACCATATTCTTTCAGGCCTTAAGTGTAAGCAGTGGATTTTGCTGCTGGAGCAGGGTTTGAGGGTATTTTGGTGGGTTTTTTTGCAAGAGTTAAGTGGGATAATGGCATGACGTGGCTCCAGAAGAAAGTGAGATGCAAGGTAGAATAAAAGGTTTTTAGAATGTTGCTCTTTTTCTTACCCTCTGATTTTCTGATTAGAGAGACATCGTTGTATTCTCAGCAGCCTTCTGCAAGGAGGACTATGGAGGCTGAGTAAGTATGCTTGAACCATTCTTCTGATAGTTTGCAATATTCAGCTAGGAAGTCTTCCTCCAAACTGATGAACTTGAAACAGTAAATGAGGAATCAAACTGTTGTTTGCAATGTACGGTAGAATTGACATGACTATGAATTTGATATATATAATACTTCAAAATTTCCATGTGTATCTGAAAATCAAGAAAATTCATTATAAGTTCAGAAGAAAGGTAGACTTTTCTTGTCCAGTGGCTATACTTCAAACATTTCCAGTTCTTTTTTTGGGCTGTAATCTCTGAAGCAGATGTAGGCAGAATGAAATACCAAGTTGAAGGGCATTCTTACCAGGTTTCTGCTTTGAAATTTTACGAGAATTAGAAGAGGTTTGAGTTACATTCAGAAATGCTGCCAGTGCTTTGCTTTGTGATCCTGGGAAAGTCATTGAAGTCTCTGTGATTTAGGACAGGCTTGTTCCTGCCTAATGACGGATGTAATTACTATAGGTATTGTGATCAGCTATATGTATATTTGACTACAGTGGGAATCAAAATTATAGTCTTCAGGCTGGATGACAAATTTTACATGATAGAAGTTGTGCAAGATGTATCCCTTTTTTTTTAATCTTCTGTTTATTAAGACTGGAGGATGATTTGATAGAGCTTGGTTGGATACTCTGGGATACTTAAAAAGATGCTATGAAAGAGAAATATTTTATTTTGGGGGTTGGTTTCTTGTTTTCCAGGCGGAATTCCAAACTTTTGCAAAGTCTCCCATTTAGTGCAATTGGCATCAACAAGGCCTTGAGAGGTATTAGAACAGAGAGAAATTTGATCAAAAAGGTGAAAACCACATCTCATGCTAACTAGGTTTTTATATATCAAAGAGATGTTGTCTGAAAGGAATGGAGGCTGTACATTTTTTTTTTGAGCTTCCATGGAGGACTAGGGATTTTCAACCACATTCAGATCTCTAGAGGCTCCTTTGGAAGCCCTTATTCAAAGCATCACACTGCAATTTTACACTTTCCTCCCAGTTAGCTTCCCTTCTTTTGTGAGCACAAAGCAGGTTCTGAATGCTTTCCAAGAGTTGCTGATTTCCTCACTCGGGTTCCCTGTGCTGATTTAGACAACAACAGAAAGCTTGCATAAACACGACGCACCACAGTGACCTTTCTAACAGTCTGATATTTTACATCGTGTTTATTGTTATTCAAATTGAATTAAAGGCTCAGTTTGTCCTGATAGAATTACCTTTTTGAAAAATAGCAGCTGGTACCAAGAGCTATACAATCTTCTTAATGGCGCTTCCTTATCGCAAGTGATTGGACCTACTGCATTTTGTAATGTGTTTCTATTTTAAAACATTCTGTTCTCCCTACAGAGAAGAAGAGCTTTTATATTTAGCTTTCATTGAAGATGTAACAAATGATATTCTTAGCCTTGGGCTATTTTCTAACAGGTACGTTATGGTTGTTTTCAAATTTGTTATGCTGTCAGAAACATATGGCCTCTCTAAGAAAGAGGAGTAGTGTTTAGTAATCTTTTCTTTGCCTTTAAGAATTAAGAGATACATCGTTAGCCCTTGCTTTTGTTCTGTTTCCTTTTCTTTTCTTTTTTATGTTAGAAAGAGGAACTAGGAAAGACCTGTGGATCATCTACTTTGATCTGCTGCTATATACTATGAGATAAAGCCTCTGTTAGAACTGACCTGGAACCCTAGGTGGACAAATGCTAAGAAGAAGTTATTTTACTCTGCAACATCTGTTTTGCTAAAACAAATTTACTAACCTTTCACTCAACAGATCCTCCATCTCCCTTCTGTCCTTGTTCGTGTTCCAATAACAATTCAGTCTTCAGCATAGGTTGTCAGGATTGCATACAGTTTCAGATAAGGGTTGCTAAATCATATTTTTTTCAATTAAATAATAAGTTATGGCACAATTTGAGTGGTACTCCCAAATTCTTTCCCACAGCAGTTTTCTGATAAAGAACTCTGAGTTTATAAGAGAAAAACTCCTGCAGTATTTCTGATACAGAATTTTAACTCATTTTTGTAATCCAATTTTTAAGGCAGTCTGATTTCAACATTTGGTCTTGCTCTGGGTTGATAATGTTCCCAGCTGTTTTTCTATTCTGTGCATTGTCAGTTTTTTCTTATGTAAAGGGTATTAATGAGAATTTTAAATACACTAAAACAAAAAATCAATCTTTGAGAAATTCCAAGAGCAATCTCTCTCTGGTTCTTTTTCACAGTGATGTCTTCCCTTAAAACCCTTCTTGCAACATTAGTTTTTTAAAATAATTTCTTATGTAAACTAGAGTAAATTCACTTGACCTGCTGGAAATCTGTTCCAGTGACTGTGTCCCTCAGTTATCACAGAACACTTGCTCTGTGCTGAAATTTTTTTTCTCAGCCTGATTAAGCAATGGATGAGAGCACTCAGGACTGAGTTTTCTCTGGATTTTTTTTCTGAAGCTAGATTTTATTCCTTCCTTTAATTTAAACTTGCATATCAGCTGCTATAGTGCACCTAAGAGATTTTTAGATACTTGCATGCCAGTAGAACTGTCACTGGATTGTTTCTCCCACTGCATAGCCCCAACAGGCCAAACACACCCAGAGTTCTGCTACAAATCACCCTGTAGCTATCATGATTCCCAAAGCTGGGTCTGCCTGCTGAGCATGTGTGTGTCCAGTGGGATACTGACTCCAGGTAGCCCTCTTTGTGACAGAGCATAAATGAAACAATCACAAATATTTTTTTTAGGTTGGAAAAGACACTTAAGATCATTGAGTCCAAATATAAACCTAACACAGCCAAGTCCATCACTAAACCATGTCCCTAAGTGACCCATCTACACATCTTTTAAATACCTACAGGGATGATGACTCCACCACTTTCCTGGGCAGCCTGTTCCAGTGTTTGACAACTCTTTGGTGAAGAGTTTTTTCCTAATATCCAACCTAAACCTCCCCTGGTGCAACTTGAGGCCATTTCCGCTTGTCCTATCCCTTGTTACTTGGGAGAAGAGACCAACCCCCACCTTGCTACAATCTCCTTACAGGTAGTTGTAGAGAGCAATAGGGCCTCCCCTCAGCCTCCTTTTTTCCAGGCTGTAAACAAACCCAGTTCCCTCCACCACTCCTCAGGAGACTTGTGCTCTACACCCTTCACCAGATTTGTTGCCCTTCTCTAGACACACTCCAGCACCTCAGTGTCTGTCTTATAGTTAGGGGCCTAAAACTGAACTTAGTATTTGAGGTATGGCCTCACCAGTGATGAGTACAGGAGGATGATCACTTCTCTACTCCTGCTGGACACATTATTTCTGATACAAGCCAGGATGCTGTTGGCCTTCTTGGCCACCTGGGCACACTGTTGGCTCGTGTTCAGACAGCTGTTGACCACAAACACAAGGTCCTTTTCTGCCAGATAGAAATCCGAGTGGTCCCATTCAGCTAAGAATTAAAATAAAAACCTGAGGCCATTGGTTTATGTAGATCTATAAAAAGTTGGCTTTCTTTGAGTGAAATAATTTAATTGTTCATTTGTAGAGTTATGGAACAACTGTTTGAATGTCATATACAAGAAAATAAGAACCGTTTGGATGAGGTAGGTGCTTCATTTATTATATTTTTCATCTCCCCATACAACTTCAGCAATGTTTCCAAAGTACACTGAAAACACAATGGTATATTTGCAGGTAAAGGTAACCAGAATGGTGAGTGGGGAGCATCCCTTTCCATAAATGAGGTTTGCAGACTTACGGATCACAGCAGATCAGGAGTCATAGGTGCAGTCACAAAAAAGGGATAATAGTCAACTCAGTTTGGTGACACTTGCTATATAGTCACTTGATGGCAAGCAGCTTCCCTTTCCTTATGTCAGAATTAAGCCCTGAGTTCTGGGCAGGGATAAGCACTGTGGGGCTGGAGGACCATCACCCTTTCTCTCTTCACCCCCCAGAGCAAAATGCGCCAGTTCTTGGATGCACTGAGAGCAGACCTCGGCTGCAGCCCTGACAGCAGCACAGAGCAAAGCCACACGGGCTGGGAAGCCCTTGACTCGCTGGATCTGCAAGAGTTCCATACGATGGAAGAGCCTGAGTCTACCAGTAAAAGTCAGAGGCAAAAAAAAGCCACAAAAAGTGAGGAATTCTTTGGGACCATGGACTTATCGTTAAAGGAACTAAACAACTGTGAATCAGGACGATGCGGGGAAAGTTCAAAGGAGACAGAGAGCCAGGATGACTTTTCAGAAGATACTGCTAAAGTGATGGATGCTGGCACAGAGCCTGATCCTTGTGTGAAACTGGAAGAAGACCCAGATATTTCACCATCGTCCGAGGCAACTTTAAACTTGATTACTTGTGACAGTGATTTGGAAGCCAACAAGGAAATCAACGATCTTGAGGAAAACTTCGCAGAGTCCCTTCATATATCACATGACTCTTCATAACAGTAGCTAGAACTTAGCTGTTAAATAGGGATAGACCTAGTTCTGTGGAGAACTGGATTTGTTAAATAGTAGTAAATTTTTTGTTTTCAGTTTATTTCTGTTTAAATACTGCTAAAGACATTTAGGATATTGTTAATTGGGCATTAATTACCTGTCCCCAGATACCTCTTGGGCTTGTTCCTCCAAGAATAAACACAAGTGGTTAGGGTGGGTGCATACATACCACTGCTGCCACCTGCCTCCCCTGCAGCTCATGAGTGTCTACCAAAGGCTGTTGATTCTGCAAGCTGGATGACTGCACCTGTAGGGAGCTCCAATAGATGTAAACCACTGCTTCACTTGTGAAGCATAAATGGTTTTGGGGGGAAAAAAAAAAAAAAAATCAAAAATATCTAGAGAAAGCCAAACGAGCAAAAGCAACATTCCTGGCACAGTCATCGGCATTGCAGTGCAGAACATAATTCCAAAAAAAAGCAAAAGGCACTTTCCTGGCTGTCTTGGTCACAATAACAAATTTCCCTTGTTGACAGTGACGGCCGACTAGGGTTTATTTCAGCAATGTACATGGACCTGTGCAGATGGGCACTGGCTTTCATCTGCTGCACTCAGCTGGCTGGCTTGTAAATGTGGCCTGCAGCTTGAGTGCTCTGGCTCACTGAGAAGTAGGTAAGACAGTGGGAGGATTTAGCACCCCTCCACTAGGACCTGCCTTGTTGAAAAGGCAGAGGGCTGATTTCGTACAAGGCAGGGATGGTTTGTCCTCAGTCACAAGCAATCAAAGCCCTGCTGCCATCCCCAAGCCAATGCCTGCTGTTCATCACCCCACAGAGCTGCAGGGGGGCGCGCACCTAGGGCACTATTGTTATAACTGTAGGAACAATTTTAACATAGAGGGGCTGGTTAGAAAACTGAAGAGTGTGGTTAGATGTATCCAAGTATAACGCCTCTTTGCTCCTCAGCCAGGATTGCACCCACTCTGGAGTCCCTGCATTCCAAGTTCCCCAGTCTGGGTCAATAATGGGATTTAGGGATTTTTCTCCCTACCAGTCACTACACTGTGTAACTTGCATGACATAAAAGAGATCACTCACCAAGCTTTGGCTTGTGGTCAACATTATTCTGATTAAAGGTTAATATGAATGTCACATTTAAATTAAAAACAAACAAACACACACAAAACAAAACACACAAAAAACACTAAACAAAGCCAAACACCTAAACACCATGGCAGTGAAAATGATCATGACATCACCTCACAAAAAGGTGTAAATAATGACACACTCATTTCCTCTAGTATGAGTAACACAAAAATGTAACAAAACCAGTTTCCTTGACTTTTTTTTTCTGCATAGCTAGACCTTAAAAGAGTAGATAAATTCATTAAAACAGACTTTCCACAAAGAAAGCATCTGTCTGCCTAAACCATAACTGTGAAGATTTCCCGGATCCAGACTGAAATTTCTGGTAAGCAACAAGATCATGCCCTCCAGTATCCTAGCAGCTGGAGCAGTCATCCCAGTCCAAAGAACTGTTTTCTGCCTGTAGAGCCATTTCCATCAGATAGTGGGGCAAAACCATTCTAGATAAATGTTACCTATGTAAAGTCAATTAGTTTATCCACAGATCCAAAAGCAAATTTGGGCCATCCAGGGCTTAATACTTTCTCCTTTTTATTCACATTTACTTTAAGGCTGTGCTTCAAATGTAAGTTGTTTAAGCAGCTTGATATGCAAGCTTGCCCACATCACTGATAAGATCAACAGTGTAAGCTTTGTGGTTGTTTTTGTTTTCCTGAGGTGTTGGGGTTTTTTATCTTCTGTTGTTCTTATTTGTCTCATCACCTTTTACTTGGTGATATGCTCCAGTCTTGGCACAAGCAGTAGCAGGAGGAGGCACTCCTGACACCATTACAAATCTGAATGCTTCAGAAGTAACAAACTTAGGAGCTGTCTGCAGCTGTGATCTGCAGTGTAAAGACATTTCTGCCCAGATTTATGTGGGTGACAGGTACATGCATAATAGCAGCACTGTTTACTTCAAATGGACAAAATCCCACTATTGTTACTTCACCTATAACAAACTGGCCTCTTATCTTTAAAGGCTACAGTTTTGTCATCACTGCTCTTGCTTTCAAGGGTAGGATTCTGTTTATTTACAAAACAAAGTGGGGCTTTTGATCATTTGAAGTAAAGATTAATGTGATGAAAGGAAAAGGTGCTTAGGTATCTTAGGACTGACCAGAGAACAAGAACCTGCAAGCAAAACCCAAGCTATCATTTTATCCCTGATCAACTCCATGTCTAAGACACCTACACATTTTTCCTTTAGGCTTAGCTGCAGAATAATGCTGGGGTCCTGTTTATCCACATTTCTGTACACTTTTACGTCAATTATAGCTATGTAACTGTAGTCATAGAACAATGCAGTTCAACTGACATAATTCAAGTACAAAAGGCTCCATCAGGCAGCAGGGAAAAAAAAGAGCTACTTTTTTCTCAGCAATGAACTGTATGAGGAGTATGAGCAAGAGTAGTGGAGCATCAGCAGAAATAAAAATTGGGTCCAGGAGTTAATATAACACCTAATGCAGGCTGTTTCAATGCAGTGACAGCACAGCTTCTAACCAACAAGACATCCCAGTAAACCCTTCAGTGCACTGCTACTGTTCTTCTGTGCCTGACCACCAGTGGAAGGTGGCAGTCCCAGGCTGCAGTCTGGGGGAAGGAGAAATAACAATGGAAAATGACTGTTAAAAGGAATGTAGGAATAAAGGAAGGGGAAAGGGAAATTATTATTTATTCCACCTTTTAAAAAATTGGAAGATTTATTATTAGGTAGAACACAGCTGCAGGGTAGGATTTTAGATGCCACATGGTCATTACCAAGACCACTTGGCACTGGTCTTCAAACACATTTCTAGAGCTCCCTCAGTTTTTCTACCTCTGCATTGTAGCATTTGCATTTCAGTATTTGAGACTTAAAAATTAATGCAAAGGAGCAAAACCCACAAAATTGTAACTCAGGGTGCACTTCAGGGAGCTTTGGGAAAATCCAGCATCCCATGTTAGTTTTTGACCATCCAAGACAGGCATATACACTGATAAGACATCATACAGCCGTGTGATCTCCCCAGAGCCACCAAGCCTTTCTCGCTGGCATTTCCCAGGCACTTAATCTGCCATTCTTCAGGAGCTAACGCCTGCTTGTGTACACAGATTGTAGGTATTGCTATGTACACAGAACAGCAACTGGGGATTTTAATAAAAACAACTTTGCATTCGCCAAAACCAAGCCAGATACTCACAAGTAGTCCAGTCTTCCTGTTTCCTTTATCAATAGTGAAGTCTGCTTCATTCAGAAACAACCATCTTCAGTTTCTATTCCAAGTAGCAAAGCAAGTGATATGCAAACAGGTGAGTGGTAAATGAAACTGCCACACCATCCACTGCACCAGCATGGGTCACCACCAGTCAGGGGATCCAGTTTCAAAGCCTGTAGCAGGTCGTGGGCCAGCGGAAGCTGAGCATGTCACAGGGAGACAGCATTGCTGGGAAGGGAAAGAAGAATCGGCAGTTATCACTGGCATGACAAGTCATCAGTTGAGCTGCAGGGCACACATAGCTCATCTCCATCTCAACCCGCTTAAAGAAAACCTGGAAGGAGTCCAGGATGTCAGGCAGTCCACAAGTAGCAACAAGAAGAATTAATTCAAGTGAAGGGAACCGAAATTAAGAGTGCTGTGTCTACTGTGCACAGGACTTTCTGCTCTCTGTAGAAAACCTCCAGAACAGCTAGGCTCTCCAGAGCTCCTGAAGGGACTGACGCTTCTAGCTCACCCACCAAGCAACTTTCAGCAGACAGCAAACAGCAGGATTTGTGCCTGACACGCAGGTGACAACACACAGCAGTTACATCTGTGTTCATCTTTCAAACTGTAGGACTGGGCTGCAGAAGTTGCGGGCTCTCAACCCAGCACCGCGTTCCGGGCTGGAGGAGTGCCCAAGGCACCGAGCCCCACAGGGACGGGGCCCAGGCTGCTGCTGGGCCTTCACTGCGGCTGGAGATCCCGGGCTTCAGCACACACGGGCTCCCCGCAGCCTTTCCAGCCCTGCTGCACTGGGGGAATGAAATTAGACCTTGAGAAGGGCAAGTGAAATAAAGCAGAGTGTAGAGGCATGTGAAACCTGAGAGAGAGGAACTGGAACACAGCCTCGGCCTGGCAGGCCGCAGAGCAGTGCTGTCCCGCTCACAGGCAGGCAGTGTGATCTGTAGCACGAGGTGCAGAGCTCTCCGCAGTCATCCTAGGAATTCAGCAAGGCAGCAGGACTCCCCTTACAGTATCTGTGAGGGCTGCAGCATACCTTACAGCTCACAGCAGCCAGAGCCCCGTTCCAGAGGATGAGTAACAGAACTACGACTGACCCTAGCTCTTCCCAGCTATCTGTTTCTTTCACTCACAAGCATGCTTACATGCCAAATAAGAAGTGAAGCAACGTGTCAAAGGCCATCAGCTCTCCTGCCAGCCTGAGAATTCCTTGCAGGACCTCAGAGGTGTAGCCTCTCCAACTAGAAATTCAGCTCAGAGGCATTTAGCACCCTGCATTTTCCCTAGTGCTTGACAGAAGCAAGACCAGAGATGACACAGATAGCATGGGTTTGGGAGCTCGCTCTGAGGCTTTCAAAATGCTGGGCACAACCATCTCAGATAACAGTGGATTATAAGAGAAAGCTCCCCGAGTTCTCATCTCAGTTTGCCTTCCCACAGAAAAAAAGCTTGCATGATGAGTCCTCCCCTCCCACCTTGAGAGTCTTAAGCTTTACACAGGGGCTTTCAGCTTAAACATAGGTCCTTCAAATCCATAGCATGTGTTTTCTTCATGGCTGTTCCTTAATATTGAACTTCTTAGAGCCTCTGTTCAGTTCACTTCATGGTGCAATCAGATCTCTTCAAACTGTTCTTGGGCACACCTCCACAACCAGCTCCTTGTTGTCCATAGCTT